CCCCCCCAAAAGAAAATGACAGCAGAAGACAACCCACCCGTCAGTCCTTAACATCATCCACATCTTCCGCAAGTCTGGCAGCCTTTTCTCCTCCCCCTTCCACATCCACAGCTTTCCCTTCAACGGATTCCCTCGAGCTCCTCCCTTTAATCTCCCGCTCTTCTTCGGCCGTTATCTCGCTCTCTGGATTCCTGTTCACGTCCCTCCCGCTATCCACATCTTCTTTTGGCACCTTTTCGTCCTCTTCCTTCACCTCCCTCTCGTCCTCTTTCTCTAACCCCCTCTTCTGCTCGCTCTTCACCTCCCCTCCGCTGTCCTCCGCCTGTTTCATCTCCCTCCCCCTCCCGGCCCTCTTGTTCATTCCCCTCCTCGCTCTCCTCGGTGCCTTCCCGCTCATCATCCGCGTCACTCCCCTCGTGCCCCGCCCGTTCACGACGCGCCGCCCATAAATCATCCATTTTCCGCCGCGGGCGGATGGCGCCAGTCTCCCAGTCCTTAATCCACATGGTTGGCCGGTCCCGGTCGTCGTCGTCGCGCTGAAACCAAGGCGGTGGTTGGACGGGGCTGCCGTTGGGTGCGCTGGACGACGCCTCCCCCATTACGGTCCGGGCGTGCTCGCAGAGCCAGGCCTCGGGCAACAGCGTCGGCGCGTAGAGGGGTCGCGAGGGGTTGTAGACCCCGTCCGGCCCGCGGCGAGCCCGGTAGCTGGTGGTTGTTTCGGTTGTCTCAACCGGCGGCGCGCCCGACGGTGATGTGTTGGGCGAGGTTGAGAGGGAAGGCGTAGCCCCAGATGTGACGCTCGCAGAGGGGGTGGCGGCGGGGGCCCGCGGAGGGGCGTCATCCGAGTCCGTCCACGAGGAGTTATGATCCCCTTGGGCGGGACTGAGGAGTTCTGCATCAGAGTGTCAGCAACTTGGTCCATTTGATGGACAGTTGACGACGTTGCTGGTGTGGTCCCGAAACTATCGGCTGACCTTCGGCGCCGCCAACGTGACCCAACTTAGGGCTTTGGGATTTTTGACAGCGGAGCCTCAGGGGTAAGGGGAGGGCAGCATGGTAAATAGGGGCGGAGAGAGGCCGGCCTCTATCAAAAAGTTTGACAGTCTCTCCAAGATCTGCTTCAACGAAGATCTGGTTTTCCAGTCGGCCGTACAAAGAACTTTTCCGATCATCAAAATGTTTCGCAGGAGCTCCAAATTCGTGCGAATTCTGCATCCCAAGACTAGCAAGTCGATAGATAAATGGCTGAATGACACAGGAATGTGGGAGTGCTAAAAAGACCTGTGTCGTATGTCGCCGGCGCCGCATAAGCGTACATAAACATAACGCAAAAGGGACCGCATACACGAGACATGCATATCAAGAAAAGCAGACGGAAACAACAAGATTGTAGAAACGGACAGGAGTGAGGAAATTGAGAAACACTTACGTCTCGAGCCCCCTTCATGGGACAAGGAAGTCCGGCGCCTCTTGGCGGCCGGTGGCGACGACGTCGAGGATGAGACGTCACCATCCTCGACGTCGTCGGGGTGAGCCCGCTTGCCCTGTCGCGACGAGTCCAGAGATACGGCAGGTGCGGGAGAAGAAGTGGCGGCGCAGCTAGGCATCTAGTTCTGCTGGCCTATTCGCGAAGGGGGAAGCAAAGATGGAAAAAGACCGTGTACGAAAGTGCGAGGAACCGCTCAGAACGTTGGGTGAGGTTGCAGGAAGTGGCCCAAGTCACTGTGTTTTAACGTAGAGACGGGAAAGGAAGAAAGGTACTGGGGCTTGAGTTTCAGATGGGATTCCATTGGAATTTGAAGGCATAATCAGCAGTCTGTATCACCGCGTATTAGTGTTCTGGCTTTGCTGCTTGATGATGGTGGTATGTCGTAACCTGCTGCAAGTTGGGAGCGGCTTGATGTTGAGTTTGCTGCAGTCGCATGAGCTGCCGCACCATATGTCTAGGGGCTACGCAATTCGCATAGGAGGCGAGCAGCTGTCGGTCCGAGAGCGAATCTGGATGACAGTCAGTGTGACCGACGGACCTGTCTAAGATGAAACGGAACCTGGAAGGCCATGAGAGTCACGTCGTAAATCTGGACAAGATCACGAGCGAGGCGCGGTGAGGCATCACTTCACTCGTCGCCGTGACATGATATTTCGCTTTCAACTGCTTATAGGTACTATCATATATGTACGTTAGCAGTCATGGTGGCTAGCTAGAAACACAATGCGTTAGGAGAGAGAGAGAGAACAAATATGAAACTCAGCATTACACCATTCAACCGGACTTTATACGCGAGAGGAGCCGCCGACTCCTCTCATTTGAAAACATCTACGCCCCCTTGCCTCAGCATTCACCAGGTTAGCAACAACATTCAACGACGTCACAAGCCAGCCGTTGGCCATGCAGACTACGTCTCGGTCACGATCACGCCCATGGAGCGCTCCCGTGAGCAACCGCCAACGCTTTCTAAGCCACGCCAACAGCCCACCCTATCGTCAACATCCGCCTCATAACTCGCCTCATACACTCCCTCAACCCTCTTCCCGATCCCTCAACACTCTCACCGGCTTTCCCGACACACATCCCCTACCGCCATTAACACCAAACTCCTCCCTTCCGCCTGTCTTGAATACCTGTAGCCCTTGCATCAGACCGTTGGGAGTGGTAGAAGACCGGGATAATCAACGTCTCCAGGATGGAGATGGCGCAGCCTGCAACGACTGGGATATGAGGTAATGGGGGTTCGATGGCAAACGGCATTCCCGACGCTCATGCCCATTCACGATTAGTTCCCTTCAAGAGACACCAGACAAATATGGCCGCTTCAGCCATGGCCGATATCATAGGTGGTTATGGGACGCCGTAGTAACTTCCGGCTTCCTTACCACAGCCCCGCTTTCCCCTATAAGAAGAGTACTAATAGTTGCATACAGAAAAGACGGGACTCAGATGTGGCCCCAAGCACATAGTCACACCAGAGGTGCAACTTGCCAAAGTGTGCGAAGGACAGAGAGCAATGAACGTAAGGAAAGGCCATGCAAGAGACCTGCACCTATCCAAGTTGCTAAGGGAGAAGCGGCCGAACGCGTCGCCGCTCAAACTCAATGCGTAACCCCTTGCCGGCTATTTAATTGCAGCATGTTTCAGCAGCGTAGAAGTACTGCATTTTGCGGATTGGGTCTTCGGAGGTTAGTCCACATAATGAGTAACGCGAGCCGTCCATATGATTCGTCTCCACTGAAGCCTCCCGTTATCATCCCAAAAAGTGTCGGGGAAAACCGAGTCAAGAAAGGCCAGGAACATGAAAAGCTGAATCTATTCGTCTACCTGTCTGCGTCTCTCTGATTTTGGCTTGTTGGGCCAGTTGATGACCATCGGCATCGGACGGAGCTACCTCGAACCCTCGCTGCAGCCGGTCCTCTGCCGGGTGCCTGTTGCACCACAATTACCGTCGTTGAGAGGAGGATGTTGTCGATTGCCGTTGCCGAGATCCAAGGGTGGCTCCTCGAACCTCTCTCGCAGGGCTGCGTGTGATGAACCCGGGAGCTGCTGCGATCGGCGGGCACTCGGCGTGCCCTGTTGGATCGGGTCGGATCCTCAGCGCAGGCTAGCGCTTCTCCCATTTGTCATTGGAGGACTACTCCATCGCAATCCCTGACTTAGAGTTCTTTCTTGCTCTCGACGGATTTGCCAGTGGCCTTGGCCCTCTCCCTGTCGCGCTTGGCATAGATGGCCGCGGTGAAGGGGTTCTCGAACCTGATGGCGGTCAGGTAGACCAAGAGGACGTGAAGAGTGAGGAGGATACCCGCCGGCTTCCCGTACAGTAGGGCGGTGCCAAGGAAGCTCATGGTGGAGCCATAGTACATGGGGGCGTTGGTGATGTTGAAGGGGAAGCCCGTCACAATGTCGTCCATCAGGATGCCAAAGTAGTCGCCCAAGAATGTGCCCGTGATGCCTAGCTGCCATGTGGAGGAGATGACGAAGATGTTGCCGACAGCCAACAGCACGTATGCAACGTACTTGACGAGGGGCTCCTCGAGTGCGGGATGAGAGGGCTGGTCACGCAGGGCGCGTTCGTAGAGGAAGTCGCGGATTAGGCCGAGCGAGAAGATGGTGGCGGCGAGAGCGTAGCATGCTGCCTGGCTGTTGCCGCCGAAGAGGCGGGTAAGAAACTTGGTGCGGTACTCTGGGGGTGGATGTTAGTTCGAAAGGCCATGGTTGAACAGCGAGGGCTCCAGGCTGACCTCTGCGGGCAACGATGCTGTGAAAGGCAGCAGTTAGCTTCAATGATGTACGCATTCCCCGGAGGCCGACTCAGCAACATACTTCCAGAAAGTCGGGTTGAAGGCAATGGCAGCGGCCGAGACTGTTACTGCGGTCAGCGAGCTCCGACTTGGCGATCTCGCAAGTTCGCGATGCAACAACGCCGCCAACAAACATACCGAAAAAGCTCTGCTGGTCGAAATCAACCATCTTGGTTAGGGACTCGTGGAGAGACATGGCACTTGATGGCAGTGACAAACAATTCGAAAGCAACAAACAACGCAACGAGAGACGAATGGACGCCGAGGCGGAGGAGGTGGAAACCGTGATAAGTTCACGTCCAGGGCGGGCTGGAGAACAGAGCCAGACAAGCCTTGATGTCCAGACGATTTGGAACGGGCGGTCAGAACGTCATCGAAGAGAACCCCCATCCCACAGACGGCCAGCCAGTGGAAAGCGCTCAGGGCAGCCCCACCAGCGGAAGGGTACGTACCGCGAACAGTGGAGGGCTAGCTTCCCCTGCAACTCCGCCCAGAGCTCCTGGAGTGTCGCATCATCAAACCAACCAATCGCTTGAGATGAGACCACATTGCACGCGCAAACTGTCGCTCCGTAAGAGCAGTGACATTTTCTTTAAGTTGAGCTCTTGATGAATGGACCTCCCATGGCCTGCTGCCGCTCCCGATGACCCCTTCCAGACCGTCGAGTCTGGTCCCCAGCCGCAATGGCTCCTAAACCCTCGGCCCCTTCTTCCTCCAGCAGCAAGAAAAAGAACAAATCATCCTCTATCACGCCAATTGACCCCACCTCATCCTTCACCCCGGACTCCTTCGAGCGCGAGCTCAGAGCCCTCGCCGCCAAAGCTAAAGGCCAAACCTGGACCAACTGGGCGCGCACCCAAGCCGCTGTCTACCTCCGCGCGGCCACCCTGCTCACCCTCATCGCCGCCGCCTCCACTGTCTCCCAACTCGCCCTGTCGCCGGCCTATGGCTCCATCCCCTCGGCCAGATGGCACGCCAAACTGGTCATGGCCGCCTGCTTCGCGGGCTGGTCGTCTAATCTGTTTCTGAACAGGGTCCTAGCGCCTGTTCGGCCGGAGACGCTACTGCCGATGATTGCGCTGTGGATTCCGGTGGTGCAGTTCGCGCTGGGGAAGGTCAGTGGGCTGTTGACGGCTAGCTGGGGACCGCTGGTGACCGAAAGCGTGACGTTGTTCCCGCTTGTGGCTGTCTCGGCGGCGTGCGTGGCCACGTATCTGGACGGGGCGGATTTGTCGGCCTTGCCAAGATGGGTGGCGGATGCTGCGCCCGGGTTGGGGTCGTATGGGTTTTTTAAGGCGGCGGAGAAGTTGTTTGGCGGGTTGATCGAAGGGTACGTCGGGAGGACTGTGGTGAACACCAGGCTGGTCATGGAGGTGGTACTCGGGGCGGCATATGCGCTCTTTGCGCCGTCGAAGTTGCTGGTTTGGACCGTGCCTGCGTTGCTGCACACAGCATTCCTGAATACACATGTCCCGACATCCATGGCGCTGGCGCGGTTGAACAGCGGCCTTGCGCCGGAAGGGTACGTTGTCTTGGACAGGGCCGAATCGATCACGGGCTACGTGTCCGTGGTCGACAGCCCCAAGGAGGGATACCGCGTCCTGAGGTGTGACCACAGCCTGCTGGGCGGGGAGTGGGTCAAGCTTCTCGGGCAGGGCCAGCTCAAGGGCAACCAGGTGGCCGAGCCCATCTACGGTGTGTTTGCCATGCTGGAGGCTGTCAGGTTGGTGAGGACTCCCGAGCCTATCGTTGACTCCGAGGCGAAGGCCCTCGTAATGTAAGCCGCCCCTTAAAACGTTTCTTGTTGACAAGATACTGACAGCGTCTAGTGGGCTTGGCATTGGCACCACGCCAGCCGCCCTTGTAGCACACGGCATCGAAACTACCGTGGTGGAACTTGACCCGGTGGTCCACAAGTTCGCCTCCAAGTACTTCCAGCTTCCCAGCAACCATACCGCTGTTATCGAGGACGCAGTCACCTATACCTCGCGCCTAGCCGCCGACGCCTCCGGCTCCCGCTTTGACTACATCATCCACGACGTCTTTACAGGCGGCGCTGAGCCCATTTCCCTCTTTACTCTAGAGTTTCTGCAGAACCTACACACGCTGCTCAAACCAAACGGCGTGGTCGCCATTGTAACATTCCCTCTTACATCCTCGCGTCTTTTCTCCCTTCCCTACCTAAACTAACAAATTTTTTATGTCAGAACTATGCTGGAGACTTCACCCTCCCGCCGCCGCGGATTGTCGTCAACACCATCAAATCCGTCTTCCCGACCTGCCGCATCTTCCGCGAGCACCCGCGCGACGACGCGGACTTCGCTAAGTCGGGACGAGACTTCACTAACATGGTCATCTTTTGCACCAAGAAGAAGCCCTCTGCCGACGGAGAGATCTCGTTTCGCTTGCCCACCGAGAGGGACCTGTTGAATAGCCCGTCGCGGCGCGCCTTTCTGATGCCGCAGCATGAGGTGCGAATGAGCGATTTTGTTGGTGGCGAGGAAGGGAAGGGGATATTGAGGCGGAATGAGACGGAGAGGTTGGTCAAGTGGCATGAGATGAGCGCTTTGGGACATTGGACTGTTATGAGGACCGTGCTGCCCGAGGCCGTGTGGGAGGCTTGGTGATGTTGGATACCTGAGCTGGGTTGGGGGTTTGGTCATGGGAGAGGGAACGAGGTTCGGCTTGAGTGTGATGGGGTTGGATATGAGGTGCGAAGAGCTGGTGAGGTGTCTCGATTTGGACGTTTTTTTATTTTTTGGAACGTTGTGTTTGGAATGTACGCTGATGACTGCACAATGTCATGGCGAAGAAGTCCTTCCTCTGTGGCTACCCTCTCTGGCTAAGGCCCATTTCGGTGTTGGTCCCATAACAGGTCAAATCCCGGGGTTGAGCTGGTTGGGAGTTGGGGCGCGTCGACGTATTCTATCATGTCTCTCACTTCATTGCCACTCACTCCCCTGTCTTCTTAGCAACCTCCCTCCCGACCGCCTCCTTAGCATATTCTTCTGCACCTTGATTCGCCTCCTGCCTCCAACTCTCCAGGTACCCAGGCACCTCCCCAACCCTATTATAGCCCCCGGCGATTGGTTCTCCCATTACAGTATACACCGGCACCACCCCAGTCCACACCCAGTCCAGTAGCCCCTCGTCCTCCATATCCCCCCTCTCGTCATGCGGGCCGCCTGTCCGAATCTTAGCACTACCCGTGTTGATCTTGACCTTCAGTACGCTCGTGCTCTGCATCTCAGCCGCGTTGGGCGGCACGCGCGAGTTGGACCAACGGTTTGGGACCACGCTGTTGGTGATAAGCTCCATGGCGTATAATTTCTCGGCCGTGTCGGTCACGAGCGTGGCGTGGCCGAAGAGCACAGCGCTGCGGTAGTTGTAGCTGTGCGAGTTTGGGGTCAGGGCGAGGACAAGCCCGTCTAGGTGCGAGGCGGCGACAGTGACGGGGAGGCCTTCCTGCTCTTGGGAGTTGGGGGAGCGGGTAAGGTTCATTATGCGGGAGGAGACGTAGCTTTTCCGGTGGTGGTTAGTCAGGACAAGGGCATGCTGGAGGAAACGCGGACGAGCTTTGCCCATTCTCGATTCGGAGCTGTAGAAGTTACGAACCCGTGAAGATACAAGTCCAGCACATCTCCCAGATCAGCGCTCGGCCGCGTGAAGGAGCCCATCTGGCCGATCATGGGCAGGACCGCCGGAAAGGGGCTGTTTGGAGGCTGGAAGGAAACATGCAGCATGGGGCATGAGTTCACAATCTGGTGGATGGTCTCCAGAGTATAGTCCCCTGTGTCGGATCAGAGACCTGTCCACTCGACATCACTGAGTTATGTCCCATGGATAAATTCACCTCGATCTCTAAGTCGGTTAACCCTGCTGTAAGGCTCAGCGGGATACTGGAGTTCGCGGAGAGGCATCTTGGAGACGGCTGAGGGGTGATGTGAGGAGCGATTCGTGAGCGTGAGAGAGTGGGAGCTGGAATACGTCTAGAGAGAGGCGAGACTTTTTGACTTATGAGAGTGTTGTGAGTCACGGTCATGGTGGTCTAAACCCCGACTTGACTCGGAGAAAGGCCAGATTGGGACAATGCACATCGGCGCCTTGCGGCGGCCTGTTGCGGGAGGATCCCCGCTCGGCTCGGTGTGCCGAGGCTGCCCGAGAGCTAGAATTGCCCGTAGCAGCATGACGCGCCTTTCCGGTGATCACTTGGTTTCATCGGCCCATGTTAGTCGGGTTTGAACAACGTTGTCGGGAGTTGGAAGTCGTGTCGGGTTGTAATTATGTCTTCTCGCATTTTTGAAGCCAGCCCACAGCGTGCAAACGATGGCGGAACCCTTTCTCTTTGAGAGTCGGGTCGACGTATGGCATCGTCTGGCGGAGGTGATCCAAAACGCGGTCAAAGCGGCAGTGCATTACCATATATATCGGAGACACACTTCTAGAAAAAAAAAGGGGGTAAACCTGCGGTGACAACCATGTGTCGGCATTGTGGTAGAGATCAGGCACGATTTCGAACATCAGATGTTCGTGTTTTAAATCATCAGTTGCAGCAGGAGGCGGTTTCCCGGTTGGGTACGGGATAGTACCTAGCAAAACATTGTTCACTGAAAGGCAAGCGCACGGACCAGCAATACCGGCGGTTTCCTTACCTTATCTAGTGGAGCTGATCTGAGGCCTTCGTGAGACGCCTCCAAATGTCCCCGAACGCGACACTCGCCGTCTCGTTGGGTACAATGTGTGCAATCTCCGAAATGTCGGTGGCACCGAACAACCTATGGCGTCTTGATAGAGCGTTTGCACATTAATCTCGTTTCGACCGGCCGTACACATCGACAAAATCCGGTCAAATCTTGCATTGTATTTGTACCAGCATCGCTGCCATCAAGCAGCTCGACGAGAACAGCGTTCATCGACAAAGCATCAGAACGACAGAAATTTCGAGGGGACAAATGAACCTTCACATCATTCCGTGTTTGTCGAACTTCTTAATCTTCGCTGCGATTACTCCGTACATCCAGCTGCTTCAAACCAGGGCCCGAGTCATACCAGACCCCAGTGTACCAACGTTTGCATCAAATGATACCATCGTACACCACCAGGGGCTGACTGGCTTCTAACCAGCGCGGGGGACAGGGCGTTTAACACGTCTGGCTGGGCTGCTCCTCTCGTCAGCCGAAAGTTGTCGACGAGGAGCTTGTACGATATGTAACAGTTGAGGTTTCAAGTGAGCTGGGGTACGTTGCAACCGCTGAGCAATGGCCTTGTCAGCCTTGCGGGACATCCAATTGTCGGCCTTGCCTCTCTTTCGCATGGACAACGGGTAGGGTGCTTGTTTGAGTGATCGCCCGCTTGTTCCTGTCGTCGTCAGAAGATTCATGAAGCAGCCAACAGCTGCATCGCTGCGAGCTTTCAGGGTTATACCCGTCACAATAGTCGCCCCCGTTTGAGGGTGACTCTTGACAGTCTTCTTGGCCTGTACTCCTCTCTTCGCCGTACTGGGCCTGTCACTGGGAACTGCCTCTCCGTGGCGGTGACACCGGCAGTTCCAGGTCACTCTGCCTGCGGCGTCCCTCCAAATTCTCTCCTACACAGACCTTTCACCGTCTGGTGACAGGTTCATGGCATGGCCGTATGATCACGGCATCACGACGTGAGCTGAGGGAACCTCTCACTATGATACGCTCCTTCTATTGAGATCCTTCTTTTCTATTCCCCCATTGACTGAGCTGGTTTCTCTTCTCTTCGTACCTTTCGTTCTTTCTAGCTAACCGGCGCCGGTATGGCGGCTGAGGGTGCGAAGCAGGCCCTCGTCGCGGCCTTCTTTTTGTGAGTATCTCTACCCTGATTCAACCAACTACATCTCTGAGGGCCAACCGGCCGGGACTAACACCCTGATGTAGCGGAATTGTGTTGAACGCCGCGTCTGCCGCCCTCGTTCTCTACCTCAGAGGCTGCGGCCTCGCATCGTTAATTCGGGACAGCCAGAGGCTGGTCCTCGTTCTGTTTCTTCTCAGCGCAGCCCTATGGGCTCAGCTCGACTTCATCACCATCCTTGTCGACGTCTCAAGGTCGCCAACTCCGTGCCAGGTCGGCATCATCTTCTCCACCGTATTCGACCAGTTTGCGAGGTTCTCGATCGAGCAATTTCTCTTGTGGGGGTTGAATACCAATAATGGCGCGAGAGTTTCGCCAACACAGCTGATTCCCCAAATCCTGGTCCTGGCCAGGTTTCTCGCGGGGGCTGTGTTTATCGGCTTCACCAGGCCTCAGACTGAGACATTCTGCGTTGCGACAACGTCTGCGCTCCCTATCGGGATCTTGGTCACAGCACTGGATGGCGTCATAATTTTGCTCCTGATCGTCAGAGCATACTTTGCCGGGGTGGTTGCGAAAGGGAATTGTGAAGGCCAAGGAAACACCGCGGACCGGGTCAAGGCGCTGAGTTCTGTCATCTTGGGTCTCGTATTCTGGACGGGGGTATGTCCAAAGCAGTTTGATGCTCGTCGAGCCACGGCTAACAAACCTACAGACGAGTGTACCACTCCTTCTCGGACTTGGGTCTTTGGCTTTGGCTACTAGGACAGCTCTTCCAGCCGGAGGCTTGCTAGCCGTCATTGGTATGCTGATTCTCTCTGTTCCTCGACATAGGCTAACATGATCCATAGTTTCAGTGGCAGGCGGTGCTGCGACCCTAACCAGGCCCCGAACTACGGACTCCAGGCCGCCAGAGGCGCCGTCACCGAGGCGTATCAACATCACCCGTGATATCTCTACATCCGACACAAACTATCCTCCGAGTCGCTACGAAGATCTGAAGGACGCAGCCATCCGATCTTCCACCACGTTTGTCAACCCTCGAGAGGTGCCGAGGGTCAAGGACGAAAGCAGTGTTGGTTTCCCGTTTGGGACCAAAAGTGAACTTCAAGAGGAGCCAGTGACGCCTCTCCCGGCAATCACAGCGTCAGTGTCGAATGTCGCTTGGAAGTTGGACAGGACCATAACTTCGAAAAGAAGTCTGCTTGGCTTTCCAAAGGGAAAATTAGCCATCAGTCACCCGATTTTACAGGAGAACGCTGGCCGGAATCCGCTGGACAAAATAGCAGTCATGGACTTGCAGGCGGCCGCGATCGCAGACAAGGAGAGAAGAGCCAGGTTGCAGGAAGATGAAACCGCGCCGATTGGCCGCCCGGCTGGGCCATTGATGGGAACGACTCAAGAGGATGCTCTGAAACGCGGAGTCAGCCTCAAGAGGAAGGAGGTTGCCTCAGTAACAACTCGAGAGAGCGTTTTCCCTGGAGCACTTCGGCCGGAATTAGTCGCGAGCACCACCTCGGCGCAGCTGTCTCCAGGCGGAGAGGAAACTCGGCGGAGGTCCCTGCGACAATCAATCCAGGAGGAACCAATACAGGCACGACAGCCTTCACCGGTGCACGCTGTGGACTCCGTCGAGCCCCGGTCCGAATCGCAGCAAGACCGCCCGCTGACCATTCTGCAACCTCTGTTGAGACCTAACATTCGTCCCTCAAGAATGCTTCCTCCGTCACCGAAGTCACCGCCTCCGGAGCCGGCCAAAACTCCTCTTCAGAGGCGCCCAACTATCGGTCTTCCGTCGAACCCAAAGGCACGGGGTCTCAGAGTCGCCGAAGAAGCTGGATCACAGCACCGCACCGTCCTCTTTGTGAACAACATTGAATACAAAGACCCACTAGCAGTCGAGGCCATCATCCAGGGCGCTGGCAGCATTGCGACGAAACTCGACCCTGCTGGCCCCACTGCAGAGACTCCTGGAACTTCAAGCTCGGTCGTCAATCGCCCTCGCCCTATTCCGCGAAAGACTGCAGATTTACCAATGCAAGCAAATTCAGAAACTCTGACTCACAGACGAAGCAAGTCTGGCGGCTCTCTGATGGGACGGAAATCTCTCCTGGCCTCATCGCCAGGAAGTCCGACCCAGCTTCCTCCTCTCCCCAGTCTGCCGAAGAGCGCGACGATGCCATCGAGGCCTTATCCCAGCAAGACTAAGAGTATGACTTTTGAGGAGAAGGTTACGCTACTGTTCCCAAGTCCTCCGAGCGGAAAGACCGGCAAGCGAAATTTGCCAGTCCCTAAGATCCCACGCATTCCAGCGCCGTTCATGGACATGGACTCGTCCCCCAGCGAGCCGCCTCACCATGGGGCCTCCAAGCGAACGACAAACACATCCCTGCGGACTGAGAGTGTTCTGGAAGTTGATGAGATTCCCCGCTTGCCGGGAAAGATCGCGGTGAATACTACAGGAGAAGCCGGAAGCTCGTGGCTTCGCGCATTTGGTGACGGGAAGGACGACGCCAAGCTTGATAAAATACTGGCTGCTGCGCAAGTAAGCGGGAAGCGCGGCTCGTCACCCATACTCCCGGCAATTCCCCGCGTATCAGCTTGGACAGAGACGACCTACGACAAATCCGAAGATGAGGCGACCAACTGGAGTTCTGTAAATTCTCCGGAGCTTGCAGTCAGTGTTCCGGTCGTGCAGCTTGGTATACCGTCGTCTACCCAAATACCCGCTTCGAGGACCTCCGAGCTATCCTTCGCAGATAATCGCAGCAGAGAAACGCTGCCTATCATGCTTGATACATCTACATCTACCATGCAACAGGCTGATGCTCATGGGTCTCTGGTTCTCGAAGTTGAAGCTGCCGCAACACCGCGACTTCCCACCTGGCACAGGCGTGTAGGTGACGAGTGTCCGACGTTCTCGGACAGAAAGGAGAAGACAAAGTTAAGAAAGATGTGTCCGCCTGCACCGCTATCGCTCAACAGTACATCAACCAAGACAATCCTCGCCATCCAGGTTGAGCCTTCTCCTCTTGAGTCCCCGGGGCAAGCCATCCGACAGATACAGGCGCAGCTGAGGAAACTTGATGAGCTCGACCAGGCTACTCCGCAGAGCGCCGCGCGCCGTCTAGCGCTGCTTGCAGACCTTGAACGTGAAATCGGACAGCAGGCGGAGCATTGGCAGGAGATTAAGCATGATATGGGTCGCGATTCCATGTCCAGTATGCAAACAACCTCTCTTGCAGGCCGCGACTCGCGGCACGAGTCTGTGGCAAGCGTTATTGACGTCGCTCGCGGGTCCATTCGGCAAAGCATCGGGGGAGAACGCCGAGTCTCGCGCCCTGCTCGTTCGCAGAAAAACGGCAATCTCAAGGTTCCAGATGCAGCCGTACGGAACGGGGGAAGCCCCGAGATGAGCAAATGGCAAAAGAGGCTAACCGAGGCCCAAATGGACTACATGGACGCGCAGCTCCTCCGTGGCAGCAACGTGACTTTTCTGCAATTGTCAAGAGCCCAGCTGGTTAGTCCTACTCCTCCGGACTCGGACGACTCAGAGGATGAGGTCGCAACTTTGTCAAATCTTCCTGGTTATGTCCCGGCCGAACAGGCGTCGGAAGCAGAGCTGACACACTCCTCGCTCTGGACGAGGCCATCAAAGGAATCGGGCTTGCAAACTGGCTTCCTCTGGTCATCGGTTTCAAAGCCTCCCCCAGAAACTGAGGTTCCGCTCCCGGGGCTCTTGGTGCGGCCAGCGCAGCGAAAGGAGTGGGCTTCTCTCCGAATCGAGAGCTCGCAGCTCTGGCGTAAGCCGCACATTACCGCCAACCGCGCGGCATCAGGTCTGTGGCGGCCAGTGTGGGCTTCCGCGGCGCCGCCTGCTGAAGCAGTAGTTTGGGCCTCTCCAAAGACAGCCTCAGTGTCGCAAAAGCAACCACACCCGATAACACAACGGCCTCCACGGCGTAACAAGCGCGTAACTCTGCTTCCAGACATCCTTGAAAGCCCGGAGCCGCTGCCAGACAAGCGCGGTACTTTGGGGATTTTTCAGTTCCCTTGGGGCGAAAAATCTGACACGGCACGCATCCAGCCGCGTGCGAGCATGTACAGGGCTATGCCTGGCACCATGACCTCCGGCGGCCCGTCTCTTGGTATGCCGGTAGGTGCAGGCTCCAAACATCTCGAGTCCCCCGAGTACTCTTCTTCCTTCTTTGACTACTACGATAATGACGAGGACGACAACATGGGTTTGGACTCGGATGAGGAGGACAGCGACGATGGTTTCGATGAGACAACGCTCTGGGAGATCGCCAGTCTGCTGAAGACGGACGCGTTACCCTCTAGGGACAGTCTTCTACCACCGCCATCCGGCTCGGTTGTGGATGACTACGCGGACGAGCTTACCTCGGACGAGGAGTCACAGTCGTCGGGAGAACGGTTTACTGTCATTGGCCTGGCCGAACCCCGACAGCCGGTGCACGAGGAACATCGCGACTCAGCAACGATCGAGAGCTCGACGTTGTTGCTGCTTGAAGATGCGCTTGAGTCCAAGGCGTCACCCAAGTTGGCTGCCAGAATTGGCGTGCCTGCAGACCCAAAGCCGTCTGTCGCGCTCCAACTTAGCCGCACGGCCATTACACCAGTTTCTGAGGTAACGCCAGCATCTGAAGTGTCTCGGATGCCACGCCACACCCCCGAGGTAGAGACAGCCAACACCGCTCAGCAGCTAGGATCAACTGGACTGTGGAACCCTCCCAGCCAAGCGGATACACCCGCCGCGCGAGGAGGAGGCTTGTTTGTGCCCCAGCCCAGGCGCTTGGGGTACCGTGGAACGTCCGAAGAGCCGGCTGCCAACTACATCTGCCGGAAGCCGCGCCCGGCGGGGCTGAAGCCGTTGGAGAGCTTGAAATCGACACAGCTCTGGGAACGTAGGACCGCTGTGAAGAAGAGTAAGAGGAATTGGATCCTAGGGGCAACGGCAAAGCCCTCGGAGAGCGGGGATCAAGGACCTCATGCAGGCCGCAACGACTGGAAGTCCGCTTTAGATGACGCGATCGCGGCCGACAACCCGCACTCCAAGCTGGTCCGGGTCATTGCTACCCCAGCACAGTCCCCGCGACGGATCCCAGAATTTGACTCGGCTGTTCGCCACCCCGTGTTTGCCGCCAGCTCCGTCGTCACCCGGTTTGAGTGGTCCCACCCGGCAGCGGCAGGCTACACGTATGACGTGTCCATTGTCCACCCGGTGTTCTTCGGCTCCCTGGCTATAACATGTCCCAAAGAGGCCGTCCACCCAACGTTCTCGGCCTACGCAGCCAGGAGACTTGAGCCCCGGCGCTCCACGCAACAACAGCGGTCCTCTGACTCGCTCAGCCGCAGTTCCAGCCAAACAGGGAGTCGGCATAAAGACGAGGTTCCCGCCCAGACCCAAATCCGTGCTCAAGAGCACGAGGGATGGAACGAAGCGTACACGCCCAGTGCCCCACCCTTGCCTACCCCTCTGGCTCTGGAACGGCTGGAGATTTCCCACCGCAACGCCGTCACAATTCAGGCGCAGATCGAGGCGCTAGAGCAGGAGAGGCTGCTTGCCGAGGGCGCCACGCAGGAGGAGTACCGTTGGCGGGGGACGACGACGACGATCATGGCCGTGACTGCCGGCGAGACAACAGCAGGGCCAGCTGCGGCGGAGGTAGACGCGCTGATGACGATGCCGGCTGCGGTCTTGACGGTGCAGGATCTGCAGCGGCAGTTGAGTATGGCGATCCGGCAGTCGCTTGTGTTTGCTGGCAAATCTCGGGTTGCTTCTGGGGCAGTGTCGAGGGCTGAGCCGAAGAGCGAGAACAAAAGCGACAAACTAGCTGTTACGGCTGCGCAAGTCGAGCCACCCCGTCAGAGTTCGCTCCTCTGGACCCCTATCCCTCGCCTTACTTCGCCAGTCGTGTCTTCCACAACCGGGTTATGGTTGGCAAATTCATCTTCTTTTGCCGCCCCCTCTTGGACAGCAGAAGAAAAAGACGCGATGGCGGCGTCGCGGAGGAGAAGGGTGGTACAGACGAGACAACGTAGACAAGAGATGCTGGCGCAAATTGCGGCTGGCGAGAGCGTGGTGAACGCTTTTGTTGACTTTGGCGGGATGGGGCTATGGGAGTACGGGGTGGGTGGTGATAAGAAAAGCGCCGGTGACGAGAGGGAAAGGGGGTTGGGGAGGGACTGGTTGCATAGTGTGTGTGAGAGGAGGACGAGGGGAGTTGTGTTGAGGCATTAGGATGGGGATCTTGAGGTGATGTGGTGTACGAAGGAAGTTGAGGATTGGGGCTTTTTTTTCTTTTGTACATTCTGAGAGAAGTTAGGTTCTTAATATCCGGTTGTGGAATGGTGGAGTGCCCTGATTGTTTCAAGAGTCTGTCCCTCAGCGGCCACTGTCATGAATACTTGGGCCCGAACTGCTGCTGGGTGATGGCGGGCAATTCCTGTATGCAAAAGATGCAGGATGATGGATAGACAATTGGCGTTGTCCGTAGTCCTATGCGTGTGTATACTTTTGCGGCTGGGGAGTGTTTTCAGGGGCCACGGGTGATTTCGATCTGGGTAGGCTACCCAGTACGGATTAGTTGGCTTCTTGAGTTCGGCTTTGACGACTGGCCCTGGGGTCTAGTGTAGAGTCGACCATTGCCTACCTATGGTATGTCTAGCCATGTCCCATGAGGCTCACACATCATGGCCGAGGGCGGGCGGGATGCCGAGAACCGGCCGGGCCATCCCGTGCGTGGGGAGGGACAGCGGCGGAAGATTCTGCAGAGACCACTCCGTTTGTTTCTGGAAAGAAGTCGTACCTCTGGACACCTGTACTGTACATAAGGCAGTATCTCCGTTATGGGATGACCAGAATATAATGGCTTCCAACTCTGTCTGCACGGAACACTCGACCAAAGACTGCCTTCAGGCAAGTACTAGCGGTACTTTCATCGGAAACAGCATGCCAACTGCCGAGCAGGCAATTTGTTCTCCGTATTGAGATGTCGTCCAACTGGAGAAGCCGAAAAGAAGCTGACAGACGACGCATGAGTTTCAAACGGGCTCTCGGCCCACACATCAGCAGTCGGGTGGGTCGAGATAACGTTGAGGTCTGGCCGGGGCTTTCTCCGCGGGCGTCCCAAGGAGGAAGCCAACGCTCGGTTCACGAGAACTGATTGGCCGAGCCATCTTATCAGTGGCTATATCCGCTATCTCGATCGAATTCACGCATGCCCCAGGCACAATCATTTTGTGCAATGGGCAATGCATCCATCCATCCATCCATCCATCGCGGCAATCGCAAATGCTAGAAATGCGACAACGGAAGTTCACGGCACGACCAGACCCCGTGGAGATGCAAGACAGGGGCCACATCCCACGCGGCGTCTCCGCTGGCATCACGAAATGTAAAAGCAGACGGTCAGGACAGGGCCCCGGAGATGCAGTTCTCCGTCCCTCACCAGTTTTTGGGTGCGGGATCGCCTCCCGTGGACTCGGTTGACTGGAGTCCTTACAGCATAGCTGTGTTTAAACAGGTTGGTGTCATGATTAGATAGTGGTCTGGTCGTGTCGTGATAGACTACATACTCTCCCGGTTCTACCATTCCGTGTAGTTTCCCCTTTCCCTTCATTCTCATCTCACCATCTTCGTCTAGATCCCTAAGCAGGGACATACTAAGCTTGCATACCAAAAGAGCCAGGCCATTGCAGCCTACCTTGTGTACCCTAAACCATTTCTCAACTTCCTCTTGTCCGGTACCCTGTCCCCTCCTGGTATTTGCCTTTCTCCTCTACCACGCCCAACATGGCGGTGGGAACACGCAAACGAGTGGTGGTTGTCGGCCTGGGCATGGTCGGCATCAGCTTTATGTAAGTCAGGCCAGCGAATATCCAGGTCTGCTCGTTCCATGCCGCTGACCTTCCTGCCAGAGAGAAACTCCTGAAGCTCGACGCGAGGGCACGAGAATACAACATCACAGTCGTCGGCGAGGAGAAGCATGTGGCCTACAACCGTGTCGGTCTCACTACCTTCTTCGAGCACCGAAAAGTCGAGAAACTGTACCTGAACCCATTAGACTGGGTAGGTTCCCCTTATCAGCCGGCTCGTTGGACCAAGCCTAACCTGACGCTCTTCTAGTACGAAAGCATCCTCGACGGGGCCCTGAGCTACCACACCAACACCAAAGTCACCAAGATTGACCGGTCGAGGAAAACAATCTCGTGCGCAGACGGCGCCGAGATCGAGTACGACATCCTCGTTCTCGCCACGGGCTCCGACGCCGTCCTCCCCCAGTTCATCCCCAACTACGATGCCACGGGCGTCTTCGTCTACAGGACGGTCGACGACCTCGAGAAGCTGATCGATTGGTCAGCGAGCCAAAAAGGCTCCGTCGGTGCGGTGGTGGGCGGCGGCCTGTTGGGCCTGGAAGCCGCCAAGGCACTGCTGGACCTGGAATGCTACAGCAACGTCAAGGTGCTTGAGCGCAACGGCTGGGTGCTCAGCCGCCAGCTGGATGCCGACGCCGGCGGCATGGTCGTGGAGCAAGTCCGCAGCCTGGGCGTCGACGTCATGCTCAAGAAGAGCGTTGCATCGATTGAGGTCGATGAGGAGCGCCGGGTCACGGGCGTCAAGCTTGTCGACGGCGAGTCCTTTGCCTGCTCGACGCTATGCTTTGCCATCGGTGTCAAGCCCAGGGACGAGCTGGGCCGGGAGGCCGGTCTCAGGTGCGCAGACCGGACTGGCGGTATTATTGTAGACAACCAGCTCCGGACCAGCGACCCGGACATCTACGCGATTGGCGAGTGCGCGAGCTGGGAGGGCCAGACATTCGGGCTGATCGCCCCCGGCGTCGAGATGGCCGACGTCTTGTCCTTCAACCTGACCCAAGCAAAGCACCACCAGCCCAGGCTGTACAAGCAGCCTGACCTGAGCACCAAGCTTAAGCTGCTGGGTGTCGAGGTGGCCAGCTTCGGCGACTACTTTGCCGACATCCATGGGCCCAAGTTCCTCCCGGCCAAGGTGAAGAGGGCCAGCAGGGCGAACGGAGCCAACGGCACCAACAAGACCGACGACGTGTCGTCCACCCCGGTCAAGGCCCTGACCTACAAAGACCCCTTCCAGAACGTTTACAAAAAATACATCTTCACCATGGACGGCAAGTACCTGCTCGGCGGCATGATGATTGGCGACACCAGGGACTACGTCAAGCTGGTGCCCATAGTCAAGAACCAGAAGGAGCTCGAGATCCCGCCGGCCGAGCTCATCCTGGGCGCCAAGAAGGAGGGCGGCGACGACGGCGACGACCTCGACGATGACACGCAGATCTGCAGCTGCCACAACGTGACCAAGGGCGACGTGGTCAAGGTGGTCAAGGACGGCAGCTGCAAGTCGATCGGCGACGTCAAGACGTGCACCAAGGCCGGCACGGGCTGCGGCGGCTGCCTGCCCCTGGTCACGTCCATCTTCAACAAGACCATGAGGGACATGGGCAACGAGGTCAAGAACCACTTGTGCCCGCACTTCAACTACAGCCGCGCCGACTTGTACAACATCATCATGGTCAAGCGCCTCCGCACGCTGCCCGAGGTCATGAGGGAGGCTGGTACCGACCCGGACAGCCTGGGCTGCGAGGTGTGCAAGCCGTGCCTGGCCAGCATCTTCGCCAGCCTGTGGAACAAGCACGTCATGGACAAGCCGCACCACGGCCTGCAGGACACCAACGACCGCTATCTGGGCAACATCCAGCGCAACGGCACCTACAGCGTCGTGCCGCGCATGGCCGGCGGCGAGATCACGCCCGACAAGCTGCTCGCCATCGCCCAGGTGGCCAAGGACTACAACCTGTACACCAAGATCACGGGCGGCCAGCGCATCGACATGTTTGGCGCCAAGAAGCAGGACCTGCTTCACATTTGGAAGCGCCTTGTCGACGCCGGCATGGAGAGCGGCCACGCCTACGCCAAGTCGCTGCGCACCGTCAAGAGCTGCGTCGGCACTACCTGGTGCCGCTTCGGCGTCGGTGACAGCGTCGGCATGGCAGTCCGTCTCGAGGAGCGCTACAAGAGCATCCGCGCACCGCACAAGATCAAGGGCGGCGTCAGCGGCTGCGTCCGCGAGTGCGCCGAAGCCCAGAACAAGGAGTGAGCCTCGCCCCCCACAAAACCCCATCCAGAACCCCCTTGCAGCAACTGACCGCTCCCACCACAGCTTTGGCCTCATCGCTACCGACAAGGGCTTTAACATCCTCGTTGCCGGCAACGGCGGCGCCAAGCCCAAGCACTGCGAGCTCCTGGCCAAAGACGTCCCGCCAACCGAGGTCATCCCCATCCTGGACCGCTACTTGATGTTCTACATCCGCACCGCCGACAAGCTCCAGCGCACCGCCCGCTGGCTGGAAAGCCTGCCCGGGGGCATCAACTACCTCCGCTCCGTGATCCTCGACGACAGCCTCGGCATCTGCGCCTCCCTCGAAGCGCAAATGCAAGAGCTCGTCGACAGCTACTTCGACGAGTGGGCCGAAGCCATCAACAACCCGTCCATCGCCGCCAAGTTCACCCAGTTCGCCAACACGACCGAGACGCTCGAGACCATGGACACGGAACAAGACCGGCTCCAGACCCGGCCCGTCATGTGGCCCAAGGAGTCTGTCACGGACGACTTCGCGTCGCTGCGCAGCCGCTGGTCTGAGACGACCTGGCAACCCGTCCTCGAAGCGTCCTACTTCCGCGGCGCCGACAGCCTCCCCAACGGCATCAGCGCGACCATCAAGCGCGGCGACACGCAACTGGCCGTGTGGCGCTTCAAGGGCCGGTACTACGGCACGCAGCAAATGTGCCCGCACAAGCGCGCCTTTGTGCTCTCGGACTCGCTCGTCGGCGAGGACCCACCAACACAACAACAACAACAACAACAACAAGAAGGGGAAAAAGAAGAAAAACCCGCCCCTTGGATCTCCTGCCCGCACCACAAGCGCAACTTCAGTCTGACCTCGGGCGCCTGCAAGTCCGACGCCGACCTCTCCATCGCCACCTTTGACGTCGAGGAGCGCCCCGACGGCATGGTCTACATGAAGCTGCCGCCCGTGGAGGAGCTCGACGCGGCCCTGGGGACCAAGAAGTGGATGGTCAAGAAGGGCGAGGCCGGGCCCGGCCAGTTCGCCGAGGTCGACAAGAAGATTGGCTTTGTGGGCCAGCGGGCCAAGAAGGTCGGTGTCAAGCCCGTTGGGGGTCTGAATGGCAATGTGGGCATGCGCAAGGGGGTCGAGTTGATGGCTGTTTCGAATGGGAACGGTGGTGGGTGTGGGGGGGCGCCGGAGTGGTAAGACACACATGATTTGATCTGACTGAAGTAACGTTTTGCATCGGGTGCGGGTGTGTTTGGTGGTCAGGACAGGGCACTTTGCTGTACATACTTTTTTTTTATGTTTTTGGGCATATTCTCAACTAGAGCTGTGGGATCATCGGGCGTTAGGGGAAGAGGTGTAGGTATTATCAACCTTCATGTTCTAGTTTGATGCTTTAAACATGAGATGGACTGTCGCTATATGCTGGTCCTGGTACATGTCTCGTGAAAGGAACAAACTCATTGTCTCCCCTGAACAAAACATGGCCATATCCAAGAACAAGTGGTATATATAATCATGTTGCTGTGCCCAACGAGTCTGTCAAACCAACAAAACTGCCGGCTGCACCAAGACCACAACAATCTTGAGACGGATTCAAAACAACTTGCCTGCCGTCGCCATCGTCATGCAAAAAAGACATTATTCGCCGTTCATAGCTCAAGCAAATATATCCATGCCCTTCCCATTCCTGCTTCCAGCCTGCACGACCAAAATACTCGCCTTGATCCCCGCCGTAACCAACACCTCGGCCACGGCCCCAAGCGTTCTCTTCAGGTCGGGACTGCTCCCTCCGACCTCGAAAGACGCATCTCCAAAGCGGGGATTCTGCCTCCCCAGCACAACCACATCGCCCGCATTCTTGGGCTGCTGGCCGACCGTTTGCTGAGCAAGCACTAGAACATCCGTGAGAGCCGAGGCGGCCGACAAGATTTCTGTCTCGCTGAACATGACGCGTGCTGACAGGTCGGCTGGGAGAGAGGCTTGCATGGTAGAGAAGAAATCCGCGTCTTCTTGCTCTTGACGGGCAAAGGGGTCGTTGGCAGCTGCCTTGGGTTCGGGGGTTTCGGTGCCATGCGAAGAGGTAGGGGGCGTTCTGGTCTCGGTGCCCTCTTCGGGTTTTGCGGCTGGCCAGTTGATGCGCACGATCGACGCCGTGACATGTTGGTTTTTCGCGAGCTGGAGGACAATCCTCATGGCGACGCGGTCGTCGGCTCCGCCGAAGAAGGGGAGGAAGATGTGGTGAGATTTATTGGCGACTGGGAGTGCGGCCTGTTCAGCAGTGTGGCTCCGGATGGAGAGCGCGCTCCTCGTGCGGATCAACTCCGGCCGGCCGACGGGCTTAGTGATGCCGCCGAAGCCATTGTCGATGAAGATACCAACGTTGCAGGTAAAGGCGGCTTTTTGGAAGGTCTGATTGATGAATTCCAGGTGCGTGCTGGACCGGAAGCGCTCGCTTGCGCTCATGGCAACCGGGAAGGACTGGTCTTCGGACACGCTGCCGTATTCGCCCCAAGGGATGAGCGCAAAGTCAGACGACACCTCGGATGCCTTGGTCATGAGCGTCTCGGCGTAGGAGTCCGCTGGGACGACTGCAACACGGCCAGAGACCGCAACGTCGTGGAGCTGGGAGAAGGTCCGGAAGGCGTTGACGACGGGGTCGCGAAGAGAGTAAAAATCGTCGCCCTCAGTCAGATGCATCACGGACGATGTTCGGTCAGTCAACTCAATGACGCGCAGACCGTGGACCTCAAGCGGCCTCTTCCTAATCTGGACTTCATTGGCTTTTGATGATTCTTCGGCAGCCTCAGGATGTGCTGAGACGGGAACGCTTTCTGGGCTGAGTAGGGTGATGAAAGTGAAGAGACTTGGAAGACTGTCGAGGCGAAGATGCACCATGAGGCGGCGGATCTGGGATTCGACAGCTTTTTTCTCTCCTTGACCAGGTCCCGAGTGGTCGACGGGGTTTCCGTCCCAGTCAATCTCGCCTCTCCGCCACTTCTCAACCTTCTTTTGGTACCAAGGAGGATACAAAGCCTTGGTAAGCGGCGTCGTTGCGACAGTTGTTACCAAAGCCATGACAACGAACATGCTGAAAGTGGTTTCCGAGAGAATCCCCGCTTGAAGACCGATGTTCTGACCATGTTAGCAAAGATACACCCCTTTGCCACCCGGAGAACTTACCAAGACAATAAGCTCAACCAGACCCTTGCAGCTCATTAGACAACCGATGGTGAAGCTCTCACGCCAAAGGAGCTTGTTTGCCTTGGCGGCGAGAGTGCCGCCCGCGATCTTACCCACAAAGGCGCACACAATGACGGCTATGACATATCCCCAGGTGATGCCGTCGTTCAAGAGACCCAGGTTCGTGTTTAGGCCAGAGAGGGCGAAATAGAGGGGTAAAAACAAGACCGAAATGAGATCCTCAATCTTCTCGGTCAGTTTTATGGCGAAACCGCCGTCGTGCGGGCAGATGAGGCCGACCAGGAAGGCGCCAAAGATGGGATGGACACCGATTATTCCTGGGAGGGTCAGTAAGCAAGGTTTACGCGGCCTCGCACAGAAATCCTTGACATACCGGTAAACCAGGCGGACGCGAGCACCATGAGCATAGTCAAGGCGACCATGCCCTGTGTAGGGCCATTCTGCAGGCTTCCGGTCCGCCGGAGAATCCAGATGAAGGGCGGTCGGACGGCAAACACCAGCAGCAGGGTCCAACCGATGCAGCAGAGCAGGGCCCATAGGGCAGCCAAACCGTTGCTGTTATTGACCAAGGCGACACAGAGCGCAAGGAGCACCCAGCCCGTCACATCGTTGCCGATGCCGGCGGCCAGGACCGTGACACCCACACTAGAGCGGAGCAGATTCAGCTCGCTGAGAATGCGGCAAAGTACTGGGAAGGCGGTAATGGCAAGCGCAGTGCCAATGAACAGTCCGAAGACGCCGAAGCTGATGGACGTCTCGGCGACAGCGAATTGATGATAGAGGCCGTAGGCGATGGCAAACCCCAGACCAAAAGGTAGGATCATGCCGGCCATGCCAACGCTCAAGGCTGCTTTCCAATTTTGGGTGAACAGACGGATGTCGACCTGTCGAGGATCAGACCAAGCCATAGCCTCCTAGGAGCCCGAATTTCTCACCTCCAGGGCGACAAGGAAAAGGAAGATGAGGAGGCCCAAGTTGGCTACATTGTTGAAGACGGGCATAGACTCGGTGGGGAAAATGGCTGTAGTCTGTCAGCTATCGCGGCATCCCATTGAATGCGGCGGTTACATACTCGCTTTGAAGCCCGGAATCCTCATCATGACCGAGGGTCCCAACAGGATGCCGCCGATGACCTCGGCGATGACCCGGGGCTGGTTCAACAGCCGGAGGGGATCTGCGCCATTGGGTGAGCCGAACTGAAAGGAGCAATTGGAGGCATGTAACCCACAGTGCAGCAATTGGCAAAAGATGATGACGATGACAGCCTGTGATGGTGATGTGCTCTTGTTAGCGCACTGGCCCGGAACACGGGATGTCCGACCGGCGGGTAGCCCGGGACCAAGGTGGGTTACATGATCGGGTTGCACAACGAAACACACGGATCCCAGCACCGATCAATGGTGCCCAGAAACCAAATCAGGTCGGACAAGAATCGTCGGCAGACTGCTTACTTACCTGAACAATAAAAAGCATAATAGGGTTCCCCGGCGTGTATGCGACTGGGTTGACGCCCTCTAGAACACCGGCCTGGGGAGGGGCCCCCGTGCCGCTGGATGATGGACTGCCGGCCATCGAGCCGGTAGTGTTCTGGATGTCTGAGATCGAGCTGCTGCAAATCGAGGCGCGTTGCGAGTTGTTGGCAAGGTAGATACGAGTAGGTGGCTCGAAAGAGAGGGGTCGGACACCCAGCTACCAGACACCAGGATCAGGATGACAGGGGACCTTTAAACCCAGGTTGGGTCCAAGTTGGTCGAGACTCGTGCAAGCTTGGCGACACCCCCCAGCACGACAACAACACTCGAGTAGGTTCCAGATGATCGGCTTGCGGAGCAGCTCAGCAGATGGATTCGGACGTTGGATGCATCCTACCCATGGACTACAATGCTTCAAGTCCAGTAAGGCTGCCCAGGCGTCGGGGCAGGGGACGCAAGACAAAGCGATTCTTAACCTAAGATAAGGTAGGTAGTGGTACAGTCCGAGTGCTGCTGTTTTGAGGCTTGCGCCGAGTGGCTCACGCGGCTTCTTGAAACAGCCAACCCGAGAATAGGAGCCGCAGGTGGGCAGAGAGCACATGGAAACTGTGCAGGCCAGGGCTACCGTCGGATGCCTGATGCTCAGTATGATGGATGGTGTGCTCGCTGACAAGGCTTTCGGGTTTGCTTTCTTTGTCCAGCTGACCCAGTTTGCCCAGGCGCGCCTTCTCTCTTGCCAGCGTGTTTCTCACAAAGAGTTGCAGTGTTTGCACACAATTTCCATTTCCATATTGTCCTATTACCCTAAATTCAAGAGAAAAAGCGGAGCTAAGATAAGGAAGCAGGGACGTTCTCTCCATGTTTGCATGGCGGTGAAGTCATTGAGAGCTCAGGCTTGGGAGCAAAACCGACATCATCGCAATGATGCAGGCTGCCAAGCGCTCTAGACCAACACCAGCCCTGTGTATGTGGGTGCCCAGTTGGCGCGTGGCACAACACCTTATGGCACGAATTGTGATCTCTTGAAATCCGAAAATGTGGTCAGCGACACGATTCATGGACCAACAAATCAATTTAAGGCTGGCCGGAATATCTCTTAACTCCCCGTCAAAAGGAAATCAAGTTATTTATATCAATTTCATACACTGCAATCAAGGAGCACAAGGAGATCGGCAAGGTTTCATAAGTAACCCTAACCCTGGTCAAACATCCGAGATATGCGTGGGGCTTCAGCCACCGATGTAACACAGATCTTGAAGCACCGAAACACTAAAAACTCCATAAGAAACTAAGGCTTCGAATCAACCACAACAAGCAAATGGTTTCGAGTTCTCTTTGCACTCAGGCTGCTGAGTGTAACAGCCGCCTGTGCCAATTCAACGCCTATCAGCTAGCAACCGGCCAACCTCTATAAGTAACTATTACCACACCAACAACCGCTTCTCCCTTCTTGATTTTGACAGGAGCTGTTCCTCTCGTCGAGATCACGGATATGGGGCAAAGGCTCGAAGCTCGCTACGCCTAAATTATCTGAAACGGCCAAGCCCCGGCCAACAGAAACCTAACTTCTCCCCTTACTTCACATATGAGCCTTGATTCAAGTGCCGCACGGCGCAGCGTTTTGCTGTTGTCGTTGGCCCACCGCTGCTGTGCGGACCCCTTCCCAGAACAGTGCACCGCTCTCACAAGACTGCGAGCCAGATTCCAGAATGTTTCTTTCCGGTCCCAGTTGTTCAGCAATGGCCGGGATTGAACTGCGTCCCGGCCGTCTGGCTCCATCGTCGGGCCTCCGTCCCGAACGTTGGCCCGTTCCCTCAGCTCAGCTGAGTGAAACCCCCCCAACCACCATGCCAGTTTCTCAACTTTGATATCGCCCATACTCGCCAGCCTGAACGGGCCGCAAGTCCAGGTCAAGTGGCTTCAACATCGAACCTCGTCTCACGCAAGTGCCGTGGAGTAAGTTGGGCATCATGGTTGACCGTTGCTGTCTGGGCTGGTTTAAGGTTGGAAGATGGCCCCCCGTCTGCTTCTCTCAGGAATCTCTTGTTCATCTCTGGCCCGTTCAAAGTTCAAGTAGCATTTTAGACGAAGCCTAATTCCTCATGCTAGTCCATCACTCTTGTCCTATAGACGTGATCGACAAGAAACTGCATGTTCTTTTCTCGGACCGGGCCACAACCCCTATCACATACTTTCCTGCCATTGACCTAGCGGTCCCAAGATGCGCACTTTTCCTCTCCTGCCGCCTTCGCTGGTGGCCTTACTCACTACATCTCTTCTTTCCAGCAATGCAGAAGCGAGGAGAATCCTCTGGAGCAAGAAGTCGTTGGTAGGCTCGGGTTCCGATCCCAGCTCGGTGGGTAACTACGCCGCCGGCAACAATCTGATGTTGAAGATGGGAAACTTCAGCTTTGACACTCCTGGCGCCCAATGTTCTTGGGACGGTAAGTACAGTCGCAGCACCACAGGATAACAGAGCTAACCAAGCACTAGACGTCTCGGAGCCCATCATCATCTTTCCGCAAGCAGAAGGCAATCGGACATACATTGCCCTGGGCATGCAGCTTTCCATTAACCTCACCTCCCTCGATCCTCTCACCATCATGTCAGCGTCCAAGCTCTACGTCTCATACATCCAGTCGGGCCTGCGCGTACGATCGGCCGACAACCCAATGCTGATCTCTGACGTCAACCCGCTCGTGCCATTTCAGATGTCAGGCCCGAGTAATAACCAGCCGGTAGTGCTCGTCACGCTGCTCTATGTACAACCGCACCCGCTGGTCATCGACGACAAATTCAACTTGGCCTTCACAGGGATAGCTTCGGACGCTTCCCAGCGTCAAAATTTCCAGTTTGATGACTTCTGCCAAAGCGCAGCAATCACCAGTCTGCAAGCCTCCACTTGGGTGGTCATCAACGATACCACCAACGGAGAAGTCAGTGGTGGACGAGGTGGTGTAGGAGGGGGAGGGGGAGGGGTTTCAACACCAGGCCTACTACCAACTCCAACCCCAAAACCCACTCCGCTACCCGGCAACGGAACAGTGGGAGGAGTCGGCGGTGGGACAGGCGGCAGCGGCCAGCGCGTCACCACCATCTTGACCACCGACGCGAACGGCGCGCCGCTTGCCATCACGTCCACGCTATCCGGCAGCTCAGGCGGCGGCGGAGGAAGCGGAGCCGGAGGCGGACAGGCCGATGGGACCACCATCAGCGCGACCAACGCCGCCGGCCAACCCACACTCATCACCTCAACCCTTACTCCTGGCAGCGGTGCCGGGTCTGGCGGCGTAGGAGGCGCGTCGGTAACCCTCATCAACACCATTGATGCCGCCGGCTTGCCCACAGTGATCACGTCAACCCTCGCTTCCGGCGGCAGTGGCGCCGGCAGCGGTGCCGCCAACGGAGGCGGCTCTCAACCAGCCGTCACGACAATCTCCACGACCGACGCAAACGGCAACCCCATCTTGATAACTTCCGCCCTCCCTCCGGGCGCTGGTTCTGGTTCTGAGACTCCAATCACTCCCGGCGGAACCCCAACAATAATTACCACCACCGATGCTTTCGGCTCCCCAATAGCGATTGTCACCACCCTCCCGGCCGGCGTGTCCCCACTGCCGGGCGCGGGCAGCGGCAATGCAGGAAGGAACGTTACAACACCAATAGCCACACCTCGTCCTGGCGGCAGCAAGCCGGTGGCGACCATCATCCAAGAAGTGACGGTCACCATCTCCGAGAACCCGTCCAGCGTGTTTACTTCTACCATCACCTTTGTGTCGACCATCTTGGCGCCTGCGTCGAGCGAGTGCGGGGTTGGCGGTATTGGTGCTGGTACGGGCGCGACGGTCACGGCCACGGTGACGGTGGATCTCAACGGTGTACCGGTCGGCACGACGTTACCTTTGGGGTCAGGGTCGGGATCCGGAGCGTCCGGGGGCAGTCAAGGCGGTGATGGTGGTGGAGGAGGAAAGGGAGGGGGCAGTGGTGATGCTACTCCTAGTCCCACGCCTAATCCTTCTCTGGGTGTGGGGGGTGGTTCCGGTGGTGGAACAAGGACGGGTGCTACTGGGGGAGGTGCTGGTGCTGGCGGGGGCAGGGGAGGGGCGAGTGGGACGGCAACTGCAACTCCCGGCCCTGGAGGATCACAGGGAGGTGGGACCGGTGGTTCAGGAGGAGGCAGTGGGAAGGCTACTCCGACTTCCGGCTCTGGGGGCTTACAAGGGAATGGAGGTGAGGGTGGCTCTGGTACTGGTTCTGGCGGTGGAGGTTCCAATGGTGATGGAGGTTCCGGTGGCCATGGTGGGGCCGGTGGTGAAGGGGAATCAAATGGTGGAACAGGCGGCTGCACTGGGTCTGGAGATAACACTGGAGGGGGTTGTTCGGGCGGCGGCTCTGGCGGCAACGGTTCAAAAACCGGAAGCGGAGCCAACACGCCCTCCCCGACGCCGACTCCCACACCAGGTGATGGCCCCTGCGGCCTCTGCGGCGGTCGCATTGGAACGAGTCCGATCACGCCTGGCACGCCGACTGCAACTGGTTCTAGGGAGCCAAGCGAGACTCTCACCAAGCTGACGGTCATCTACCCCATCCCGTCTTGCGAAGCATGCTCAAAGAACGGCGCCAAGACTGACTCCGCGGCGCTTGGAACGGCTACACCAGGGAGTCTGGCGGCGGTCTCCCATCCCGTTGTCGAGGCTGGAGCGGTCAAGGATAATCCGCCCGGAGTACTCCCAGCTCTGCTGCTTGGTGGTGTAGCATTCATTTTCATTGTTTTCTTGTGATAGACAAAAAGGCAATGGCAGGGAAAGATATCCGGAGTGAGCTGAGGGGTTCTGGAGTTACATAGATAAGCGACTTGGTTTAATGTTTCTGTTTCAATCAACCTTAACTAGTCGTATTCCTCAGTTTTGTGCAGCCTGCGGTCTCAATATGACTTCTGTTTGTTGTTCTGAAGCCTTTAAGCTGGGCGAGAACCCTCCGGAACACTTACGCTTCTTGAAGTCCAGTTCTCGGTCGTGCACTGATAGTTCAGCGGCCAGCCTACAGGTCGCTGCAAATACACGACGGAAAATAGGGTTGGGGTTAATTAGCCGATTGGTCTATTGGCCAGACTACGGATTAGGTTGTTGTTGAAAGAACCCACTCGAACTGAACCCCACCGCCGCTTGTGCACGACCGCCGAAAACCGCTATCCACCATTCACCATTCACCTGCGGCTCTGCGTCTTCAACTTCCGACCAGAAACATCGCCGACTGCAGATTTCCACCCCCGTCCCCGCGCCGGCCTCCCTAGTTCTCACACGCTGCGAGCATACCCGGCCTGTGGACCCGCTTGTTAGCCTATACCTACGGACATTCATATCTTTCCGCTCATGACGCGCAGCCCAAGACTGCCGCATTGTCACAACTTTAGTTCCGGACGACGGATCACCGCATCGACGCCCAACGCACTCCAGGTCTTAGTTCCGACTGCGATTGCGCCTGCGCTACAATTTTCAATCCACCGTCATACCAACAACAACAACCCGCAGACAAGATGATGTCCAATCCGCACGTCTATGGTCACCATCAGTATCCCCAGGCCGATCCAGCCTGGATGCACCAGCAGACGTCACACCAGCACCACGCCCAGGCTGCGGCCGCCGCTGCCAACGTCGCCCAGCAGCAGCACTACAACCGCATTGCCACCGCCCACAACACTGTCGGCGCCCTGGCCCAGGCTCAGGCCCATCCCCAAGAAAGCAGCCTCGAGTCGTCCGTGTCAGAGGACAACCGCCGTACTCTTCAGTACATCGCCGACCTGTTGAACGAGAACACACGCGAGGGTGCCTTGTTGGAGCTCAGCAAGAAGCGAGAGCAGGTTCCCGAGCTTGCCCTCATTTTGTGGCACTCGTTCGGTATGACGTGTTCCCTTTCTGCCCCGTGACACAGCTCTCTGATAGGGCATGTGTGGGCTAATCGGATTTGTTGTAGGCGTCATGACATCGTTGCTGCAAGAGATCATCAGCGTCTACAATCTCTTGAGTCCGTCACAGCTTACCGCAGCCGCTTCGAACAGAGTCTGCAATGCGCTGGCGCTTCTTCAGTGTGTCGCGTCGCACAATGAGACTCGCACGTTGTTTCTGACTGGTAAGTGTGCTTTTCTCGAGAGGCATTGATCACGCTAGTCTTTGATCCGCTGACAACCTCGCAGCGCATATCCCCCTGTACCTCTATCCCTTCTTGAACACGACGTCTAAGTCGCGGCCGTTCGAGTACCTCCGGCTCACTTCGCTCGGGGTTATTGGGGCGCTCGTCAAGAACGACTCGTCAGAGGTTATCAACTTTCTCCTCACCACCGAAATCATCCCGCTGTGTCTCCGCATCATGGAGACGGGCTCCGAACTCAGCAAGACCGTCGCCATCTTCATCGTCCAAAAAATCCTGCTCGATGATAATGGTCTCAACTACATCTGCGCCACCTATGAGCGGTTCTATGCCGTTGGTACGGTTTTGAGTAACATGGTCGCTCAATTGGTGGAGCAACAGACCGCCAGACTGCTTAAGCATGTAGTCAGGTGCTTCTTGAGGTAAGACTCGCTCCTCTCCCCTCCTCTTGGCCAACTCCACCGCTAACCTGAGCTCTGTGTATAGGCTCAGCGACAATGCCCGTGCGCGCGAAGCACTCAGGCAATGCCTGCCTCAGCCACTACGCGACCAAACCTTCGCGGCCGTCTTGCGCGACGACGCCGCGACGAAGCGCTGCCTTGCCCAGCTTCTCATCAACCTATCCGAGAACGCCATGGAGCCCACCGTTGGCCAGCTTGGACTTTAGGACATGCCACCAGAACGGCCACGAAGTGCGCTTGCAGCGGCGGATCATGGCATAACAAGTCATACCGGTGACGCCACCCTACCGAGACCCCGACTAAGTGCGCCTGCAAAGGCGGACCATGCCACTAATGACACTACCAGTGCCGAGACCGGATTAGGTCACACTCCGGGCTTTACTTTTCCGCTACTTTTGCTGAGGTGCTGCTGCATCCGGAATGTCTTCTCTTGTCGTCCGAATGGACATCAGACTTTCTGTGTTGAGAATTATCATCGTTTCCTTCCCCTGTATGGATATCAGACTCCTCTGCCTCGGCATTGAGGGAGCGGGCCCTACTATTATATTGTGGATCGACATGGGGCCATGATGAGCTGGATGGACGTGCTGTGGATGATTAGGGTAGGAAAATGGGGTCCTCTATGCTCGGAGAACGAAATGGAGATGGGAAAAGCCTTATCATGTTTATAAAAGAGGGGGATACTCACATTGCAAGCGACCGGGACGGTGGGCGTTATAGGGCGTTTTTTTTAGAAGAAGGGGGGAGGGGGGAGGGGCCGGAAAGATCTGCACACACCATCTCTTCCTTCCTCTTCCTTTCCCTTCTTCTGTTTCCCACCGGGCTTATTCTTTTGGTGTTTTCTGAGAGCAGTGTGAAAGGGAGTTCTTTACGGGTGCATGGGACCTTGCATAGCAAAAGGGTGGGCGGGTTGCTTTTGTCCGTTAATTTTCTTCGTGTCTGCGCCTTGTTTGGGCAGGCCTCTGGAGGGAACGCGAGAGCGAGAGCGGGAATGTTTATACCCCCTGGTCTCTTGTGGTGTGTTGTTGTGATGGAGGTTGGCGGCGGGTGTCTGTGGGGGCGGAGAGGGATGTTTGTACGATGTACGGATCCGTAGGCATACCGGTATAGCACGTATAGTAGACTATGGGCTAGCGTGGGTAGTCAATAGGACTGAGATACCCATATAGGTGAGCTAGGTTCGATAGGTGCTCGTTTCTGATATATCAACGGAAGCTACTATGATGAGAGAACTCAAAGGACTCCATTTGCGTTGCTTCCCCGTTATGGCTTCCATTGCCAATAATCTGGCCTTGGAAATAGCTATACCGTCCACCCTTGAAATCCTTGTTAGCGCCTGACTTAGACGACCGGGTCTTTCGAGAACTCCCAACTCAACGCTACAACGACCGATTTTCTGTGCAACAAGAACTATGTTCAAAAAATTTGCCCTATGCTCGAATTTTCTGATTGAAAGTGAGTAGATGGCTGTTGAAGGGAAGAAGGTCTTGAAATTGTAGTTGGGACCTCTGTCTGTTGAACCGCACTAACAATCATTCAAGGGTTGAATTGTAACTTTCCGAGCAGTTCAAGTGGCGTATGGCCAAGCTTCAACGAAGTCGCTGTGGCGCCAGGGCATCCAATGGGGGTATCTGGCGATCTTCGCATCTGTGGCAACGTCATTCACTTTGTGGTGCACAGAAGCCAAGCGTGCCATTCTCCCGGTTCGAAGAAAGGGGCGCCGCAATTTCGACATTTTATCAGGCCCAATGACTGCCTCGATGCTTGGGTATCTCGCCTCGGCGTGGAATCACAGGCACACACACAGCAAGCCATTATAATGATTCTCAAGCGAAAAGGGCTGAACGCGATCTCATTGGCTTGACCAGCATGTTGTCTAGAGCGGTGCATATGCGGCGTGCGGCCTGATCCGCGGTGGCGGCCACTCCAAGAGGATGCCACCCCGGAGCATGCCCGGTATCAAGCTTAGCTCGCCGCTGCCGGCATCAAGAACAGTGATGAGCGAGTCGGATGGCTTGACAAAGGCCTGCGCACGCGACTTGGCAAGTTACCTGTTTCCATTTCAGATGGTTCCGGGAAAGTGCGGCTTGCTGCCCTGCTCAGGTGGCCCAAGTCAGGTTACATCCCGTCTGTCATATTGGGAAGGCGCCCCCTCGGTCATGACCACCACCCTCCTGCCCGTTTCCAAGTCGCCTCCAAGCTTGCTGCTGCCGGCATGCCTTGGGCAACCCGTGCTACGGTACTCCTCGTACTCCTCGCTCTGGACTCCGACGCTGCGGAAGAATTCCTGGCCGACCAAGATAACAACGAGCACGATCCGGTGACACAAAGGACCGAAAAGGGCCCCTCATCCCAATCCTGGGACATATAAGTGCGCTTCACTCAAGCGAATTATTCTTCATCCGGCTTTACCGTTCTCCAACTATCCCGCAGCCAAGCGGCCTGACTGGCCAACATGTCGTTCCAATCTGGTCGCTGGGCGGTGCCGACTCCAACGCGGGCTCTCGCTGCTGTGTCGCTCATCGTACTCTCTCTCCTGGCTTTGGCTCAGCTCCAGGTCGGCCCAAACAAGAGCAGGTATGCTGCCAGATCCGAGAACCTCGAACAAGCGGACAAACCCTTCCTTTCCAAGGCCCGAGCCACCACAGCTGGCGACAAATACCTCATCGGCGTGGGCAAAGCCGACATCACAGGTCCGGTGGTCGAGATCAACTTTGCCGGCTATGCCAACCTCGAGCAGGTTGGCTCGGGCTTGCGCCAGCGCATCTATGCTCGTTCCTTCATCATCGGGGAAGTCAGCACCAATAATCGCTTCGTCTATGTTGTTCTCGATACCCAGTCGGGAGACACCGCAGTTCGAAACGGCATTCTGGAGGGTCTGGCATCCTTGGGATCTGGCTATGCCATGTACGGGCGGGCGAATGTCGCTGTGACGGGCACCCACTCCCACAGCGGACCAGGGGGCTGGTTCAACTACCTCCTGCCGCAGCTCACGAGCCTGGGCTTCGACCGTCAAGGTTATCAAGCCATCGTCGACGGTGCAGTTTTGTCCATCAAGAGAGCGCACGAGTCTCTCCAGGAGGTCCGACATACCATCATTGATGCGGTTAAAAGGTTGCTTACTGACCGTCCCAGGGCTATCTCGACTTTGGCACCACCCGTGTCTCGGATGCCAACGTCAACCGAAGCCCGTCCGCGTACCTCGCCAATCCCGAATCCGAGAGAGCGCAGTATACAGACGATGTCGATAAAACCTTGACGCTGCTGCGCTTCAAGAGAGCATCTGATGGCAAGAACATTGGTGTTCTGACCTGGTTTGCCGTCCACCCTACCTCCATGCAAGGCAACAACACCCATGTCACTGGCGACAACAAGGGTCTGGCGGCCTATCTGTTTGAGCAATCCGTTAAGGGCGACGACCGGGCTGCTGACGGCTTCGTTGCCGGCTTCTCGCAGGCTAACGTGGGGGACACTAGCCCAAACGTCTTGGGTGCCTGGTGTGAGGACGGGTCTGGCCAGATGTGCGACTTTTATACGAGCACCTGTTCGGATGGCACAGCTCAGTCATGCTACGGCAGAGGCCCCATGTTCCATAAGTTGGACCTTGGCGTCTCCAGCTGCGCTGTGATCGCCCAAAGGCAATTCTCTGGGGCTAAGGAGATTTATGTGAGATTAATTCTGGCTTTTAGATTGCGGCTGTGATGGACTGACTCGTCTTGTAGGACTCGTTAGATTCCACATCGACAGCCGTTGTCGGACCTACTGTTCGCTCATTCCATTACTTCCAGGACATGCAGTACTACACATTTCCCCTGGATAATGGCACCATTGTGCAAACCTGCCCGGCTGCTCTAGGACACTCATTCGCCGCCGGAACCACAGACTGGCCCGGCCTATTCGACTTCACCCAGGGTGATAGCGGAGCCCCGGATAACCCGCTCTGGTCGGTCGTGGGAGGCTTTCTCCGCGTTCCCAGCCCTGAGCAGAAGAATTGCCAGGAACCAAAACCAATCCTCCTTGATGTTGGCGAGATGAGTCTTCCCTACGCCTGGTCGCCCAACATTGTCGATGTTCAGTCCCTCCGCGTTGGGCAGTTCATCGTCATCGTATCCCCATCTGAAGCGTCCACTATGGCTGGCCGGCGCTGGCGCAATGCTGTGAAGGCTGCCGCGTTCGACTCGGGCTTGGCCGGGGATCACGAACCGTTCGTCATCCTCGGCGGCCCTGCAAACACGTACGCCCATTATGTGACCACGCCCGAGGAGTATGCCGTCCAGCGGTACGAAGGCGCGAGCACACTCTACGGCCAGTGGGAGCTTCCGGCCTACATTAACCTGACCCTGCGCGCCTTACCCTTTCTCGCCCCGACCGCGTCCGGCAGCCCGCCGCCCGGCCCCTCGCCTCCGGACAACCGTGAGAGGAGCCTCAGCTTCATCACGGGTGTCGTCCAGGACAACGCGCCTCCGGGAACTAGCTTCGGCTCCGTCAAAACCCAACCCGCGAACTCCTACTCGCGCGGCGCCATCGTCACCGCCACCTTTGTCGGCGCCAACCCGCGGAACAACCTCCGCCTGGAGGGTACGTTTGCGGCCGTCGAGAAATTGGGCAGCGAGGGCAACACGTGGACGCAGGTGCTGAGCGACGCCGATTGGCGGCTCGTGTACAGCTGGAAGAGGGCCAATTTCCTGCTGGGCTACAGCGAGGTGACCATCAGCTGGGAGACGGACCAGCAGCTGGACGCTGCGGGGACGTATCGACTCAAGTACTATGGTGACGCGAAGCCTCTGATTGGAAATATCAGGGCGTTTACGGGGACGACGAACTCCTTTACTCTGTCATGAACAGAGGTTGGCTGTGATGATATGAAGTTTCTCTAATTTGTGATGATCTTTGACTGTCGATAGTGATCGTCTCTGGAATAACTATGATTGTCGTTCAAGTCAACGAAGACCAAAACCTCGGCTCCTCAGTGAGAAGTACCTAGTCTAGTCGGTATGCCATGGTATCCTGCACCGCCGCGGAGGATCTCCTGTTCTGCTCATACTACTGTGTAGGATAAGCCCTGCCCAACCCTACAGTCTGATTCCCACCTCAGAGCTCACTCCCTTAAAGAACTCTTCCTACCGTTTTCGTGTCCCTTCTCGAAAATCTTCACGCCAAACTTCCAAACCTCGTCAACGACTAGCTCCCGCCTACCTCCATCGTCGCTGACTGTTTCGGACAGAACCACGAGGTCGGCGTCAGCGCCGGCGTCCAGGGTGCCTTTAATTCCTTGCGCGCCCAACATGGTGGCTGGGGTGGCGGTTACTGTCTTGAGGGCTTGGGGGATGGTGGCGCCAGACCAGTTGAGGAAGTTGTTGATGCATTCGATTAGGGTGGTTGAGCTTTGGTTTGTTTATTGATGTCAGCTTGGGAACCGTACGAAGAGGATTTCGGGAATAGGGGGTGGTGGTTGGGTTGGCAGGGGTAGGCGGAGGTATAAAGGGAGTAGGGGCACAAGTGGAAGAGACACCAGTCAACAATGAAAGAAAACGGCAGAGTAGCTTACCTGCCCGCGATAACTCCGGTGCCCTCCAACTCCAGCACGCCGCCCTTCTTGACGATAAAATGCTCGCCCTCCCCGTTCGTCCACGGGTACCGCCCGTCGGGCAGACCCACCATGTGCATGGCGTCCGTCACCAAGATCAGACCCGCCGGGTGCGCGTGCCAGGCGATCTTGACGGTGGCCGGGTGCAGGTGGATGCCGTCCGCGATCAAGCCGAAATACGGCCTACTTGTCGTCTCGGTCACACCCAGCACGCCAAAGATGCCCGGGTTCCGGTGGTGCAACGGCCGCATGGCGTTGAACAGGTGCGTGATCATGGTCGCGCCGGCGGACACGGCCGTCGAGGCTTCTTCGTAGGTGGCTTCGGAGTGGCCGATGGAGACGATGATGCCACGGGCGGTGAGTTCGGGGATGAGGGAGGTCATGGCGCCGAGCTCGGGGGCGACGGTGATCTTTTTGATCGGAATGTCACTGCTCGTAATCGGTGAGGAGGAGGAGAGACTTGTGTCGTCACTAACGCTGGACGGGGACTGGGACCCCGAGAAGGAGGGCGGGGTGATGTTGGCGGCGCCGTACATGTCTTCCAGGTCAGAAAAGGATGAGGCGACACGCATGATGGAGGTGTTGTGGATGCCGTTTTTGGTTGGGTTCAAGAACGGGCCTTCGACATGGGCTCCGAGGGATTCGGCGCCGTCATGGGCACGGCGGGAGGCACCGGAGGGCCCCAGATAGGGGAGGACCTGGGCAGGAGGTAAGCCGTGGGGTCCATCGACGAACACAAGTTAAACTGACCTTCTTGTAGAGATTGCTCTTCTGGCTTGTCACGGTGGGAAGGTATGAAGTTACACCAGTCTGGGCCAGCTTTTTGTTCAGATCCCGCAGCTGTTTCCCGTACTGAGCCATGTCTTCAGTAACGGTGGAAAAGTTGAAGCCATAGGCCCCATTCAGCTGACACTCGATAAAGCCCGGCGACACGATGCGACCGCCGAGGTCAATGACCTCGTCCGGCATGATGAGTTCTTCGTAGAAGGCCGACTGGCTGCGGATGATCTTGCCTGTGATTGAGCTCACCCAGGCGTCGTCCCATACCAGTTCATCGCCGCGGAGCAGGCGGCAGTTGGTCAGCTTGGTGATGCCATTACGGCGCGGGGATGCTGAGCGGACTGCGGTGGGCATTGTAAAGGATATATGGTGAAGTGATAGAACTGCTGTAATAAGGGGAGAGGTTCCCGTTCCAGGGGCTCTGTTGTTTAGGGAGCGGTAGGGCGTGAAGTTGCCCGGAGCGTTTAGTTGTGGACGCCATAGTATACCAGAAATTACGGATTTGGGGCGAAACCAATCCAGATATACCTAGGGTAAGATAGGCAGGAACCTACCTCTTCTCGGAGGTGACCATTGGCGCACTTGCCCCATACCCAGGTTAGATGCCGCGGTGTGCCACCAGTCGCGGGCCACTCACTCCTCCACCAACGCATAATGAACAGACTGGGTGCTACTAGCCATTCCTTGAGGCAACCTGGAAGGAGCAGGTGTGACCCGTGACTGAGGACCCTGTGCAGTCCATGAACGTCATCAGGCTCATGGCCAGTCCGTTTTCATCGAAGGCGCCCGTGGCCTCCGTCTGCCCGGCATTTGGTGGACAATAGTGGGTCCCAGTGTCTTTGACTCGACGAACGAGCCTTTCGAATCACCTTGAAAGGTGACTCAAGTTGCTATCGAGACGAAGGATGGGGTCAAGAGTCAAAGTGGCAGCGTTGCACTGCTGCACTGTGTTGCGAACTGTGGAAGACAGACGGCAGATGCAACAGACAAAAACGAGAAGCTTGGAGGATATTTGCAATCATGTCACGCTCATGGAGCCTCCGGGAGGAAAATTGCCAATCCGCTCTCTCGGGTCGTTCGTACTGTACTGTGTAGGTCCACAAAGATAGCGAATGTTCAGATTGTTGGAAAGTCTCTAGGAGCATTTGATGGTGGGTTGGAGCTCGAGTTTACGGGGAGATGTGGATGTAACGTTGCCGAGTCGGTGCTAACCAAATCCCTTCATGGTACCTGCCCAAAGAAGTTAGCATTTTATCTTTTGTGACTTCTCCAGCACTAACCAAGCTGAAGTCAGCTGCAACGTCGGGTGCGCACAACCACGATGACAACTGAAACCGAAACTGGGAGTGCTTCTCTGGGACTTTGTTCATGCGCCGCACCGGGTACGGTATGCGTGGCTGACATTCTTACTTTATGTTCCACGTTCTGTGGCGCATTCAAGGACCACTCGGCGAACCATTATCCCGTCGACCGCGTAAGAGTTGTCCCCGAACCCACCACTCCGATCCCGCACCTTCAACATGGACCCCGAATTGGACCCACTATGGCAGCATCTCGACTGGTATGTGTGTCTTCGTCTGTGTTGTTCTGAGCTTCCGAGTGCGTGGCTGTCGATCGCCGGTTGTAGAAGCCATCTCCGAGCCATGTGGCTGAGCTAACTGCCAGCTTTGGCGTTGCGGCCAATAATGGTCTGAGGAACAATAAATGATATACCTCATATCATGGCAAATTAATTGCTAACATGATGTCAGGGCCATTGGGCAGATGCTCATTATGGGATGGGATGGCACTGAAGTCACCCCCCAGATCCGTAACCTGATCGAGCAACACCACCTCGGCTCTATCTTGCTGACTGCAAAAAACCTCAAATGTTATCCACCTTGGCTGTAATCCCTAGCTCCATACAGATGCTGACTCAAGCGCAGCTGCCCAACAGACGGCAAGGCTCGTCCAGGAGCTGCAGACCATCGCCCACCGGGCAGGCCATCCTCAACCCTTGCTGATCGCCGTCGACCAGGAGAACGGCGGCGTCAATAGCCTTTACGATGAGGACTACATCTGTCAGTTTCCTAGTGCCATGGGCCAGGCTGCTGCCGGCAATGCCGAGCTCGCCTACAAGGTTGCCAAGGCGACGGCAACAGAAGTCTCAGCCGTCGGCGTGAACCTCATCCTGGGCCCGGTGCTGGATGTTTTGACCAACGCCCGCTATCAGCCGCTCGGTGTAAGGGCTACTGGCGATGACCCCCAGGAGGTGTCCCAATATGGCATCGCCGCCATGAATGGGTACAAAGACGCCGGGGTAGCCACCTGCGGCAAGCACTTCCCATCCTACGGCAACCTGGACTTTCTCGGCTCCAGTCTGGACATCCCCATCATCACCCAAACGCTCGAAGAACTCTCGCTCAGTTCTCTTGTCCCCTTCCGCAATGCCATCGCCACTGGCAAGCTGGACGCCATGTTCGTCGGTGGCTGCGGCATCACCAACCCCTCCATGAGTGTCAACCACGCCTGCTTGTCCGACCAGGTAGTCGATGACTTGCTGAGGAATGAACTCGGTTTCCAGGGCGTTGCCATCTCCGAGTGTCTCGAGATGGAAGGCCTCCGAAACGAAATTGGCGTCAAGACGGGCACGGTCATGGCTGTCGAGGCCGGCTGCGACCTCGTCATGCTCTGCCGTGCCTACGACGTACAACTCGAGGCCATCTCGGGACTCAAGCTAGGCGTGGAGAACGAGCTCCTCACCAAGGAGCGCATCTACACATCCCTCAAGAGGGTTCTGCGTCTGAAAAAGTCATGCACTTCGTGGCCCAAGGCGCTGAACCCGCCTGGAATCAACCTATTATCCAAGATTCACCCCAGTCATCTTGCGCTTTCTCTCAAGGCCTATGAGGACTCCATCTCCGTGATCAGAGACACCGAAAAGCTGCTTCCGCTGACGAACTCAATGCACCAGGAAGAGGAGCTGCTCCTATTGACTCCCCTGGTGAGGCCGCTGCCAGCATCGTCTATGAGCAAGGCGCTCGTGGAGGCCAAGAGCAAGTCCGATACGCCCACATTGCATGACAAATGGGCGCACCGGGACCAAAGGTCCATCATGAGTGGCGAGGGAGTGTTTAGGGAAATGGGGAGGTCTCTCGCCCGTGCTCGGCACGGCAAATTGCTCCATACTTCTTACACCGCCAACGGTGTGAGGCCAGGTCAGTTCCATTTCGCAATAAGCGCAATTCACACGCTAACCGTTTACTTCTAGTGCACGAAAATCTGATCAACCGGGCTTCCTGCATCATCATTGTGACGGCAGACGCCAACAGGAACCTGTACCAGGCGGGCTTCACCAAGCATGTCTCCATGATGTGCTCGATGTTGAGGGCAAGCGGGCAAAAGAAGTCGCTTATCGTCGTTGCGGTCAGCTCGCCCTACGACTTTGCCATGGACAAGTCGATCGGAACATACATCTGCACTTTTGATTTCACCGAGACAGCCATGGCTGCTCTGGTCCGGGCCCTGTGTGGCAAGTTCAAGCTACAGGGGACGCTGCCAGGCACGCTTCGGAAGAGCAGAAAGGTGCAGAAGTCCAGGCAACACTGGCTTGTCGAAGCCTACAACCGTGACCGGGACGCGGGAGGACTCGACGACCTCCTCCAGGCCTTAGCCCGGGCGAGTGCCCCAGCTCACCAATTCCTGCAGACGACCGGCGCGCACACGTTCGAGTTGTTCAACCCCAACATCGAGGAAGCCCACTTTGTGGTGCGCAACAGCAGCACCCAGGCCCTCTACGGCTTTTGCGCGACCTACTTTGTTCAAGGCACGGGCATCATCGGGGCCATCTTCGTTGACCCTTCCAAGCGCAATGTGTCCATTGGCAGGTCCCTACATCGCCGAGCCCTCCGAGGCCTCGCGCAGAAACGCGGAATCAAAAGGATTCAGCTCGGCATGTCCTTCCCGGGCGTTTTTCTCGGCATTCCGACCGACGACAACGCCAGCCTCAGACAGTGGTTCTCCAACGGCGGCTGGGACCTACAATTTCCCCGGCGACTCGCCAACATGAGCATCACCCCGCTCAGCAGCTGGAGCGCCCCCGAGGGCTTGCTACAGTGCATCCAGCGCGCCGGGATCAGCTTCGACCTGATCCACGGCCCGGACAACGCGGAGTCGGTACTCGCCCACGTCCGCACCCACGCCAACCCGGAGGTGTTCGAGCTGTACCGCTTCGCGCTGCAAGAGGTCAACAACAAGACGTGCGGCGTGGTCCGCGCCAAAGGCCACGCCGAGAGCCTGCTGGGAACCGTCATCATCTGTAGCCCCGGCAGTTCGCTAGCCGGGTTCATCCCCGCCTTGCACTCCCCACCGGCAGAGCCGGATGAGATGATTGGGGGCATCGTGGCGCCGGTCATGGTGCCGGCCACAGCCCAGGGGAGTTTGGTACTGCAGGGCCTGGCGCTCATGGGCTTGCGACAGAACAAGGCGCACAAGGCGGTCCGCAGCGTGCTGAGCTGGGTGCTGGACGAGGCGGTCGAGCCGATGCTGGCGATGGGGTTTGACGTGGTGCAGGCCTTTGAGGAGTTTACGAATTCGCCGGAAAATGTGAGTGCGCTACGTGGAGTGGGACAGTGAGGAAGTCGTGCTAACTCACGACTTGATAGTGGCAGGATTTGGCTTGAACCGAGACATGTGGAAGGTTGTTCAGCTCAGCGGTTTGCATTTAGGGAAATGTTGCGCAATGAGTCCTAGTATATTGAAGTTGTGGCTGACATAACTATCCAATTTATATCTATTTCATTGACCAGTTTGTATCTCAGCTTTGTTGTTGCGCATGTCTGATGCTGGCCCCTAATTTAATTCCACGACTATGCTCGGTTTGTAGCCATTCACATTTGCCATCCCCTCTTTTGACTCGAGAGCTTTTGACGACCTGACTCCCTCGGCACTATCCATACACAGCCTTGCCCTGGCTCTTCTGAACCAAAGCGACAGCTTCTCAATGTGCCAGCGGTTAGGGCTGGTGAAACCTGGATGCTCAAACAAGCTCGTTCAACAACTGGGTATCAGGGAGACCTTGGAACTTGAATGGTATTCTCGGCGTCTCCACTTGGCCGGGGAAGGTGGAGCGACCCCGCCCCAATTTGGAGCAGGGCCACGAGGGCCATCAAGCACCAGCGAAGGTTGCAGCGGAGTGTCCCAAAGCAGCAGGATGTGGGCAATCGGAAGCACTCCGTTTCATTGGCAGTTCCCATGCAGCTGCGGCAACCGGTTCCCGACAATGGAATGGCTTATCGATGGCGCGTGAAATGTCGCTGAAACGCGCCTTGCCGTTCCGGGTTTAGCTGCCCCACTTATCGCCCGCCAAATTTCGCCCGTGAAATCGCCTGGCAGCCGGGCGATAAGTGCGCGCGATAAGTTTATCCTTTTAGTCCACCACGCACCACCACCAACCC